AGGTGCAGCCGCAGCGGGGTGAGCCTGCCTGTCGTTCCTCCTAGGATGCAGCGGTGGCCAGTGCTGCTCTTCCTGGCCTGGGTCTGCTTTCTCTTTTTTGCTGGTATCGGGCTCTTCATGAGCGGGTTCCTGCTCACCCGGATCGAGCTCGCCAGCAGCAGTTCCTGCTCAGACCCACTCGTGCCCCCAGCGTGGGAGAGGCAGAGCCTCCCACCGGGCTCCTGTTGGGCACCGCAGCGCTTTTCCAAGGCTGTGCTTGTCATCATCGATGCCCTCCGTTTCGAGTTTGCCCGCTTTAACCCCGCCAAGGCCAGCCCGCTGCCCTACGAGAACAAGCTCAGTTTCCTGCACCACCTTGCCACCTCCCAGCCTCGCCATGCCCGCCTCTACCGCTTCCGAGCCGATCCCCCGACCACCACCATGCAGCGCATCAAGGGCCTCACCACTGGCTCGCTGCCCACTTTCATCGACGTGGGCAGCAACTTCGCCACCTACGCGATCCAGGAGGATAACCTGCTGGTACAGCTAGTGCAGAATGGTAGGTGGGCAGGAGCAGTGTCCTGCTGGGACAGGGCATGTGCAAACCACTGGTCAGCGCTCACACGGGACCTTTTTTTCTCCTTCCCTGGGAAGGGAACTGCTTACAACACCTCCACCCTGTCAGTTAATTCTTTTGCCCTACTCGGGTGACAGTCGTCTCAGGTAGAGCTGTCATGCAGGCAGGGTTTCTCCATCTTGTGCTGGGAGTAAGAAGTAGCTGGGACCATGGCTTCGTCTTCATCATCTCCAAAGATGACGAGAAAGCAGGGGAAAGTGGCTGTGCTGATGGTGACTGTCACAAGGTCACCACCAGGAATGGCTGTAGCAAGCCAAGGGCAGTCAGTCATGTCATGTTTGCGTTCAGGTGAGACGGACGGTGAAGGAGGAACTGGTGCCTGGTGTGCTGTGGAGGTGTCACTCAGGCACCAAGCCTGCCTGGCCAGCTGCCTGCTGCTGTTAGGCAATGACCTCATCACGTTTTCTGTGTAGTTTGGTGCTGCTGGGGTGTGCTTAGTGCAGCTGTAACCGGCTTGTGAGGGGGAGCAGAGAGAAAAGGACAGGATACGATCTGGTGTTACCCAGAGAGATTTGCTTCCAGCACTCAGAGTGGCACAAATACCAGTGCCTGGGACGAGGCGATGTGACTGGATTGTCTGCTCCCCTGTGTGCAAGCAAGGTGGGCAAATGCAGTAAATCATCAGAGGCAAAAAACACAGGTAGACCCTGTGCCAGAGCAGCAACCTCGGAGGAAATACTTCCTGCTGCCAGGCTGGAGAAGCTCTGCGGAAGCACGGAGGGCTGGCTGGTGCCAGACAGAGCAAGCAGAGCGAGAGCAGTGGGAAGGATCAATCAGTGCTTTGGCTTTCTCTTTTCCGTGTGTGAAGACCCACTGCTGTTCAAAGCTGGAGCCCAGAACTCACAGCTTCTACTCAACCCCTGTCTTGTAATTTACAATGGGTTCACGGGCCTTGGGTGAGGGTTTGTCTGCTTCATGCTGCACCTTCCTAATTGCTGCGGTAGTACGGGTGGGTCGCTGCCTGCTTCCTGGGCTGTTCAACCCACAGGTCTTCCTGCTGGGGTGGCGTGTCGGAGGTCAATGACAAATAGTGGGGTTCTGCAGGTGGAGGTGGTGTGGGGGGGCACTTGCAGGCTTAGAAACCGGGCTGGTCACTCCCTGTATTCAAACTCACTTACAGGCAGATGGTCATTTTAATTGTAGGTTGCTTTTGAGTGTGGGTTGGAGCCAATGCTTCAGACCTTGATCTGGATCTGCTCAGGCTCCTTGCACTAGTGTGAGTAACAGTGTGACTCAGGTGGGCTCCCGGCTTTCATTAATTCCTTTCTTTGCTGCCACAGGAAGGAGAGTGGTCTTCATGGGTGATGACACTTGGGAAGGACTCTTCCCAAAGAAGTTTTTCCGCTCATATTTCTTCCCTTCTTTTAACGTGAAGGATCTTCACACTGTAGACAATGGGATCCTGCAGCATCTCTATCCAACTGGTAAGCAGCAATTTCCCCAGGGCCTGGATAACCCTTTACATTATGTGGGGGTCCTACTGCAAGATTGGGTTAGGACTAAAGAATTTTTTTCTGTTACGGAGTGGCACTGGACAGTCACACACTGCTGCCTGGGCATTACAGTGCTCTAGCTGGATTTCCACAGATAAGCCAGCCTTTGGGGCCTGTAAACTGTTTCTGTAAATACCTTTCCTTCTTTTGGGAGAGAGTACAGCTTGATGGAACGAGGTTAGATTTCTACATCTGCCTTAGAAATAAAGTGCCAGGATGGAGCAGGAGGGGCAGCTTAACTTTGACATGTGCCTGCCTGGGCAGGCACACAGTGCTCTGGGAAATACGCAACAGTGCGACTACCCATGGGGAGGCTGGGGCAGAGCACCGCTCCAGAGCATCAGTGGCTCCTGGCCTTGGGAAGAAGGTGAAGTGTGAGATGTATTTGTGAATTTTAAGTGATTTCAGACCCCTCCCTGAGGTCCTGGGACCTAGGAGGATGCTCTATGCTTTATCTGTCTATGAATCTAAGCAAATTAAGGGTGCAGTGGCATTTCATGGGGAAGTCGTTGTGCCCTGTGGGAGAACTGCAGTTCAGTATTTAATCACCAAATATGTTGGTTTTCATGTGCCGAGGCCCTGAAGCAGAGGGGAGAGGCTGGGGTAACTTTCTAGCTAAGGACAGCATTGGTGTGCCGTGCTCACGTCCTGAGTGACATGCAGAGGGGCACATGGATCTGTCTGGCCTGAAATATCTCCGGGGTAGGACTGGAGTTCTAGGTTCTCCTTTTCATAGAAGCACAGAATGGGTTGGGTTGGAAGGGACCTTAAAGATCACCTAAGTCCAACCCCCCTGCCATGGGCAGGGACACCTTCCACCAGACCAGGTTGCTCCAAGCCCCATCCAGCCTGGCCTTGAACACTGCCAGCGAGGGGGCAGCCACAGCTTCTCTGGGCAACCTCTTGCAGTGCCTCACCACCCTCACAGTGAAGACCTTCTTCCCTACATCTACTCTAAATCTAACCCCTTATTCTATCACTACTTGCCACTGTAAGTATCCTGAGCATCCCCTTGGTTTAACTCAGTTTGTGGCAGTTTGGGTTAAGGGTATTTCAAGGTGACTTGGTGACATTGGGCCATTTCCCTCCTGAGGAGTGGTGAACAAAACCCATGGATACTGGGGCGCTTGCCAGGCATTGAGCACCCTGTGCCGTTGCCAAGAGTGTGCCTCTGTTAAAACCTGCATCAATCTGCTTGAGAGCTGGGAGTGACAATGACAGGAGGAGGAGAAATAGCAGTTTTCAGAGGCAACTGGAAAGCTCTGGCTGGAGAATCCATGCCTGAACCCCAGGCTAGTATGTGATAAATCTGCTCTTGTTCTGCAGTGGACAGTGGTGAATGGGATGTGCTGATTGCTCACTTCCTCGGCGTGGACCACTGTGGGCACAAACACGGACCTGACCATCCCGAAATGGCTAAGAAGCTCACCCAGATGAATGAGATGCTCAGGTGATTAGTGCGGTGGTGGGAGGTTGCCAGCTGGCCTCTTCCTTCAGCCGGGCTGGTGGGGTCTTCCCAGGGAATTTACAGACGCAGAAGGCAACGGGAGAGTTGCTGTTCCTGCTAACATGGAGAATGGCTTTGGCCACAGCAGCTGAAGCCCCAGCTGTGGGGCAGTCTCAGTTGCATAGACTCACGTTCACGAGAGGTTTGGTTTCAGAGTTAGACTCTCTTCAGGTCTTGGAGACTTGATTCTCAACCAAACCATCAGGTAATGGTGCAGCTGGAGTACAGCTGAGCCT